GAAAGGTGGAGGGTCGGCGATAGAGAGGAACATCCTCAACCAGATGCATTGACAGGGTGACTACAGCCGTGGGATCAAGTGTGTCAGAGATGAGGAGGATGGCACAACACAGGACAGGCTTCAGAGCTGTTGTTTTTCAGGTTGCTATGAGTTATACTCAGCTTGACAGTACCTAACAATAACAACAACACCACAACAGTATTGGGCCAGACAGCAAAACAGGCCATGAAAGGACACAAAGCAAGGTGTATACCTCAAGAGTGATCAAGATGCCATTTTGGGGGAGTCAAAGTAAGTCTTATTGTGGGAAGGCCTGTTGTCATGATCTTGGGTATATTTGGTGGCTGTCCCGTGGGGATGACATGCTGTCACAGTGTGTTGTAATGCTTCACAGGGTGGCTGTCTCCTGAGTTATCCCAGTACAGCCCTAGTATCAGAGCTCCAGGTATTTCTTACAGCTGCTGTTTCTCGTAACAGCTTCTGTCTGATTTGCTGCTTTCTTACAAAGATGCATCGTTGCAGTGGGAAGCCCAGAGGACCTCCACACTTGAATGAATTGCTTGATGGATTCTTCACCAGCCTTCCCTCAGCCTTCACGCACACACATGCACAGTGCACACTCCTACACACACATACAGGAGCACAGTCCCACTTGTAAGACCTCTCTGCACACTGCTGTGTCTTCCTCCACATCAGCTGGAGAGAAGAAATGGACTGCACCTCTGGAACCAGCAGGAGGCAGCTACGTTGGAGACCTGTAGCCCAAGCCAGGCAGATGTGCCTGGAAACATGGCGTGTGTTTTCCTTGACCTCCTCTTCACGTGGACACAGCTCACACCTGTGCCTACAACCATGCATGGCCACACTTGGAGTGTGTTGAGTGTGAGGGTTGAGCTACTTATAGATAGGGGCGTTTTACTTTTCAGTGTCAGTATCTATGTGTCACCATCAAACATTCCATCAGCCAGAAGAAACCCACTAAGGATCCAAGGAAAACCAAAACACTGGTGGATTTCTTCTTCAGAGCCATTCTAGCACAGGATGAAGTGGTTCCCCTGACTTCTAGTCAGAATCCTATCATACTCTTTGGTAAACTACAGAGACTCGGAGGAGAGGGAGGAGTGGTGAGGAGAAATAGCATCGCTGTTAGCTACAGGCCTTGGCGTGTTCACATTTCCATTTCATAGATGAAGAAACTGAGGCTTAGGAGAAAGAACCAAAGTTCTCAGCTAATGTGGCATCTGGAGATCCCAATCCACTTATCATCTAACAAGTAAACCTCTTCATCCTTGTTCGTCTCCATAGGAGAACTTGAAGTCTCTATAGGTTTATAAACATGGGTCTCAGGTGTAAGAGTACCACTAAAGCCAATTCCTCCATGCTCCCCAAATTCAAGAAAATTGAAGCAAAGAAGTGCTGGGATGTTCACTTTGTTGTGGTGGTCTGAACCAGACTCATACTAAATTCAGGGTTTGCCTATGTTCAGGTCTCTGAGGAGGCACCCCAGCCTCAGGTCTCTCCTGAGATGAGCTCAGTCCTCTGTTGCACTTGCAAAGTTGTCCGTCCCCTGCCTCTGCCAGTCTCGTCTCCCTCATGCTCTTCCAGATTCTTTGGGCAGGCCCACTGGACCCCACCAGGAGAGGTGGTGTTGGGCCATTCTTACTGCCAGTAGAATGACCTGGAACTGAATTCTGGAGGCTTGGGGAGTATCTGAACAAACCCTGACTGATAACAGATCCAGGCAATCCTTTATCTGCGTTCACCTGTAGCATTAAACTCACAAGGGCATTTGTGCACTGCGAGTCACAGATTTCTGTTGGCCTTTTATGTGTCCAGTAGTCTAGTTTAATATGCATATGACAAACGTGAGGTCAGAACAGAGAATTGCCCTTGGCCAAACTGCACTGCCTCACCCAAGGCTATCCTCCTCCCTGGAGAGAGCTCATAGCTCACAAATGGCCCATTGGGAGCACAAAGGCCCAGCTCCCTCACTCTGCAGGCATAACTCATTTTACCGTGCTCCACAGATCCTGCACTCTTACACTTTAAGGGTTTGTGGTACCCGTGCACTTAGCAAGTCTCCTAGTGCCATTTTTCCAAAAGTGCATGCCCATTTCATGTCTGGATGTTCTATTGTGGTCATTCTTACAGTATTTCAAACTTTTCATCATACTTACTAGACTACAGTGTAACTTTTATGTACATTGCGAAACAAACAAAATAAGCACGTGACTCACTTTAACAGGATATTCGCTTTGTTTTGGTGGTCTGAACCAGACTCACACTAAATTCAGGGTTTGCCTATGTTCAGGTCTCTGAGGAGGCACCCCAGCCTCAGGTCTCTCCTGAGATGAGCTCAGTCCTCTGTTGCACTTGCAAAGTTGTCCGTCCCCTGCCTCTGACAGTCTCATCTCCCTCATGCTCTTCCAGAGGTTCAGGAGAATATTACCCAGCCAGACACCTGCCCGCATCACTAGCTTAACAGGTATCACCAGGCAAACCAGCCTCTCACTTAAACACTGCAGCTTCTCAGTGACATATGCCACTTTTCCTTACAGGTCACTCATTGGCTAGAATTAGTCACATGACACTCTCCCCACCCACAACCACCAGAGCCAGCAAGTGCAACCTTGCCATGTGCCCAGGAGAGAAAATACTGAAAATATCTAATGAACAAAATTAATGATATTGCATGGGAGGAATGACAGAAAGGGAGGGAAGTAAAATGGCTTTATAATTGGCTCAGGATAGGACAGGGTTTAGAGTTATTATACATAGGGTTGCTATAACAACAACAATGCTTTGTCCTCAGATGACAGCCTTGGGCACTCCTTGCTCTTAGGTCTTCTCTGCTGAGCTTCTTCTGGTGGAAACCTGGTTAAGACATCATCTTTCTGCTATCTTTACCCTTCACTGTGGTCCATCATTTCTTGAGCTGTTTCCCTTGCTCTCTGTCCCTGTTTAAACTCAAACTTACTGCCTATGAGTCGCTTGTGACTCATAACAACCCTCCATTGTGTTTCTGAGGCACTACACTTTAATAGGAAGAGACTGCCCATCTTTCTCCCTTGGAGGAGCTGGTAGATCCGAACTGCCAGAGTCAAGCAGGCTTTGGATTATCTGTGCAGTCTGCTATGTTCACAAATGCATAGGCTCAGTTCATCTGGCCCCCAATCAACAGGATCCCATTCCCGCTTCATACATAATTCCGGAACAGCTTTTTGAAGACCATACGACTGAAGAGCTAGCAAGGAAGGGATGCAACACAGTGGATTCGTTCACATTTGGAGCTCTAGTGATGCAAACCTAAGGGAGTGGTGCTGCTAACAACCATGCCTCTCTGGAGGTACAAAGTCCACCAGGGGCTTCAAGGGAGAAAGATGTGTAATCTCCTCCAGGTAGATTTATACTCCAGAAAACCCAGGGGAAGGCCAGCTACGTGTTGGTTTCAGCTCAATAGCAATGAGTGAGGGAATGAGTTCACATGTACACTTTGCCACGTGATCCTCACCACATCCATCGAGTTAAGTACTGGCTGTGTTTCCACTTTACCGTTAGTCACTTGAAGGCAGAGATGTCGAGTAACCATCATGAAGGTGACAAAACAGAGTTTGCTCCCAGATGGTGTAACTGTGGGCACTTTCTACCTAGGAACCCTTGGCTGCTTGCTGATCAAGTCAGTTACCTATCCATGTAGCGTTCTGGGGGTGCATCAGCCAAAACATTGAGCCTCTAGTGGAAAAGTCCATGGTTTGAGCCAACTAGGCACTCTGCTGAAGAAGAAGATCTCAGCCTCTGAACCCTACTGGGCAGTTTTACTTTGTCCAGCAGGGTTGCTGTGTGCTGGAATAGACAGAGTGTCAGCATGTTTGGGCATAATTCCCATCTCTGCTTTCCATGTTCTGCCCCGCTTGCTGGGGGTCGGGGCCCTAGCTGCTTCATCTATGTAGGATTTGTCACTTCATATCCTTTCCCTCAGGGGCTGCTTCCTTTTTTGTTCAGTGTCTGGGAAATGATGTTGGAGACACGTGGATGCTCCTTTCTGTAATCATGACTAACTTAAATGTTTTCCTTATTGCTTTGGCCACCAGGAAACTCAGATCCAAACGAGAACAAACATTTTATTAGAGATGAAGGTTGACATTTCCGTTTCTAACATTTTCCTGTAACCGCAGATTTCCAGTTTTGGTTTATTGATAATCAGCGCAGGATAGGACAAGGTTCTGATCTGTTGTTCATAGGGTCGCAATGAGTTACAGTCAACGTGATAGCACATAAGATCAACAACAATCCAGCAACAACATTGCACAAGTGCCCTTAAGTACTTTTACAAGGGGCTACATGGACAGGCCAGTGTGAGCGTGAGCACTTAGATTGCTGCTGGGAGGAGGCAGACCGAGGTATCTTTTACGCTTGTTTTCAAAGCTCACCCCACTTAGAGGATCTCTTGAGTCGTGATTACTACTGTCCTGAGTCCCTGAGGGAGCCAGGAGCCAAAGGTTACACATTTTCATGGAGAAAAGAGAAGGTTCCTCAAATCATGGTCCAAATTCAGTGTCAGGTGCACTCGCAGGCAGCCGGTAGGCCTGTCACCTGAGCAGTTCATAAAATCTATTGCCCCTTGATGGATTTTTTTTTCTCCTGCAAGCTAAAATTGATCTGTCCTCTTTGTGATTTGTGGCATGGCAGGGACACACCAAACACCATCTTGACATGGGCCACATTCTGGGGGAAAAATAATAAAAAGAAAAAGGGAGGGGGAAAAAATCCACAGCCAAGCCTTCCCAGGCGGAGGAAAGGCTGCAGTTGCTGGGGTCGTTGTATTTGATTTATTGGAAATAAAGTGGATCTTATTAACATTTTAATAAAGAGAATCTTTCCGCACTAGGCTGCAAGTGGCCGCCAGGCTCTGGTGCAATTCTGTTGTCACTTTGTGGAGAATTGGAGTCGGCTCGCCTTGCCCAGGCTGGGTGGGAGGCTGAGCCCAGCAGCCTGAAAAGGCAAGCGGGCTGCCCTCCTGGCGGAGCTGGCGCTGCGCGGGGCGCTCGCCGTATCTGCCATGCAAAACGAGGGAGCTTTATGAAGGAATCCGTCTTGTAAAGCCATTGGTCCTGGTCATCAGCCTCTACCCAATGCTTTCCTGATGCTGCCGCTGATCTATTTGGGAAGTTGGCTGGCTGGCGAGGCAGAGCCTCTCCTCAAAGCCTGGCTCCCACGGAAAACATGCTCAGTGCAGCCGCGTGCGTGAACGCGAACGCCGCCGGGCGCTTCTAGTCGGGCAAGATGCAGCCAAGAACTCCGCTCGCCCTGTGCTTCCTGCTGTCCCAGGTAGGGAAGAGCGTTGCTGCTTCGGGCGCGCCCTGCGCCCGGCTCTGCATTCGGATCGCTGGGCGGCTGGGGATCTGGGGCTTTCTGGGGACCTGGCTCGGGCGCGCGGCGGAGTGGGCAGCTCGGGGATCGGAGGAGAAGTCATTGCCATCCTCTGGGGGACCCTGGCTTCCCACCCGGCGGCGTGTGTGTGTGTGTGTGTGTGTGTGTGTGTGTGTACACATACGTTCCAGGGAGGAGGACAAGAGCCCCTTTTTGCAAGCAGGAGCGACATTCTCGCCTACATTAAGTGGGGTAACTTTGATTCGCCTCCTCTGGAGGCTCATGCATTGGAGATCCAGTTGGAGGCGACTCCAGTGAGTAACGGTTCCCCCAGACCAACGCGAGCGGAGCCAGCGCGGCTCGGGTCCGGATTGCGGGTGCCCGTGGACAGGCCGGCCTGGCACTGCCGACTTCCCAGGACGCCGGGCCCCTCGCCAAGCCCCGGGCGGCACACACGAAGCTGCCTCGGGCCAGTAGAGCGCCGCAGCCCGGCTGCCGCTGTCGCTCACAGGCACCAGCCCAGCCGCGCCCGCATCGGGTCCCTTCCTCCTCGACCCCGGACCCGGAAGGGCCGGAGCCGGGCCCCGCGCCCCCATTGTCCAGCCAGCCGGAGCTCCGGTCAGGGCCATTGCCCTGCTGCCTTGCCGGCTGGGCACAGAGCACAGAGAAAAGTTCATGCCTTCCCCACCCGGGCTGCAGCTGCCTGTTAACCCTCCGAGCGCTGCAGCGCAGGGCGCCCAGAGGCGGAGGGCGCAGATGCACTGACCCGGGAGGAGGAAGGTGGAGATGTGGCGCGCACGTCTGCAATCACCGCTGCTGCAGCATCTGGGAGATCTGGGGAAGTTTGCCTGTGGGCAGGAAAGCAGTGCTGCGAGGCCAGGCCGGTGTGCTGGTTATGGAGGGGCACGCCCAGCTCCACTCAGGGGCATGTGGCTTCGAGAGTGTCAGCACCCAGTCCCAGGAGGCCACCCTGGCCTCCTACAAGTGGGCAAGGAGGAACAGGGCAGCTCGGGCTGAGAGGCGGGAAGGAGACAGCCTGTGCCCAGCGGACCAGGAATGAGGATGGAGTTCTGGCCAGGACTCCTGGGAGTCAGAGAGGAGGCATCTATGTCAGCTTATGGAGAGGAGAGGGCTCCTGGAATGGAGGGCTGACCAGTGCTAGATCTAGGTTAAGACCAGACTTTGGAAATGAATCCGCGTGTATGAGAGAGTGTTGTGCCAGAGCTAAGGGGCCAGCCTGCTGCCCCACCTCCACCCGTGACTGCCTGCTGCTCTGCCCTATCCAAGACCCCCCAGCTCCGGCACCTGCTCTAGGGGTTATGCTCCCTGACTCTCTCCAGCGCCCTGTAGTCGCAAGTCAAGCCACAAATCCCACTATCTGGGAGCCTATCTTCCACACTGGCCTAAGGCTGTACAAGGAGAGTCTGCACAGCCCCAAGCAGGGAGAGTTCAGAGCCAGCCTCAGCCTCAGGCCAGGTGCTCACTCTGCAGTCCTGGGTGAGCCCTTTGGCCCTCTCCTCTGAGGGAGTCTGTTGCTTCCCAGGATAGCTGAGAGCAGCTGGTTGTATTCAACAGGATGCACTAAGTATTCACCACTATGCCGGGCACAATGGCCCCAAGCTCAGAGCCAGCACTTTCAAGTTCTGCTCCTCCCTTAGGGAGCTCTGGTGGCCTAGCAGTAAGGAGTTGCACTGGCAACCCAGAGGTACTAGGCTCAAATCCATCAGGTGCTCTTAGCTAGTGTTTCCCCCTTTGATCCCACCCCAGAGCTTGCCGAATGTGATGCCTTTCTGGCAGCAGGACCAGTCACATGAGCACCTTTAGAGAGATCCTCACCCTGGGTACTTTGTGAATGGCATTTTTGCAAAGCCACTGTTGCATCTCTGGGCCAGGTCCCACTTCCCACTGGGTGACACAGGTGACAGAGCATAGTCAGTGCCCTGGGAGCTTTGTTTCTAAGACTACTATGCACACAGCGAGCCCACTGGACAGTTACTGGGGGTCTGGGAGCAAATGCATCTTGCAGGGTGGTGATGTGTTGTACTTAAGGCCACCATTTAGAAGTTTAACAACTGCATGCACCCCCAAGAAAAGTGGGGCTGTCTTGAAGACAGAAGTGAGGAGCAGACACAGAAACTTTCCTGGGGTGGTGAGAAAAGAGAAAAACAATGTAATAAAGCCAATTAGTCAACGGCTCTGGTGGCTCCCAGACAGGCATGGATGTGCTTTTCTGCTGCAGCTGTGACTTCCTGGGCCTGGCCAGAGAGCTGTCCCTCTCTGGAAGGTTACTGGTGGAGCTGCCCTTTTAGGAATTTTGGACGTGGAAGGAGGAATGCAATTTTAGTGTCTATGCTGGCTTGATGCTGATAAAGTTGAGTAAAGGCGTCCTGACCACTTCTCGGGAGCATTTTGAGAGAGGTCTCTCTACAAGCGGACCCTAGAGTTTGCTTGGAATGGAGAATGACCATAACACAGATTAAGTCCAGAATGAGCCAGAAATTCCACTGCTCCCCCGCCCCACTAACCCACAGTTCTAACAATGAGTGAGTAATCACCCAAGAATTGGCATTTTAGGGAGTGGTTCCAGGTTTGGAGAGCTGTCGCTTGGGAGTGACTAAATAAGTTCCACAGGCTGCTGAGATTTTTGGTTTGGAGAGTGGAGGGCTTCTTTCACAGGCAGACTCTTGCTTTTTCCAGAATTTTAAAGGCAATTTTATGTCTTCCCTGTAGCTTCTTAGAGGATGTTTGACAAGCAGTGTGTAGTTTTGCGGTCAGTCCCTTTGGGGCACAGAGGGAGAGAATTGAGAATTGCAGAGAGCACCCCCCACCTCCCAGATGGGCTCACCATGGAACAGTCTAGAAAATTTCAAAAGCATTGAAACAGGGATCTAAGTGGTGAAATTAGAAGAGTTCACGTGCCTGCCCGTCTTTCCCAGCAAGTTCCTGGAGAGATTTCTAAACTGCAAGGCTGAATATGCAGTGTGGAACTGATGTAAGCCCACGGTGTATAGTAGACCCCTGCTGTCCTCGTGAGCTGATCTTTCCCTTTTCTGCCTCTCTCCCTTCCCCTCTCTTCCATCTTTAGAACTTGGGTTTTCTATTAAGTAAAATCTATTTCCTTCTAGAAGTATCTTCTACATGTTACCCGTAAAATTGCCCAGCCAACCCGTGTACCTGATAACTGCACTCTCTGAAACTATCCACCTCTCCCACTCAACCTTTTGACAATTACATGTTGGTGCATGACACAGTCCTGCATCTGAAGTTGAAAGTTTAACACACAGTACAGCCAGGTTCTTGGGATTATCCTTCTTTCTTTCCCTCCTTCCAAAAACAGTCTTAAAGGGAATCCATTTCTTTTCTACTTATTGAAAATATATTTAATTGAAGGGAAGAGGAAAGACAAACTATGCATAGTCAAATGAATGTCGCACATAACCTCTAAATAGCATGTGTGTATGTGCGTGCTTTCCTCTTGTTTCAATACCTGTTGAAAAAATCTCTCCAGAAGAGGGCTCCATCCACAACTGTACAAAATACCAGCTCCTGTTTTATTAAAACTTGAGTGTTTTAGCTCCATCAAAATAAAACTATTCTCATCCGCCCTAGTGATTTGCTACCAGCATCCCCAAAACGAGAGGACCCTCAAACAAACGCCTCCCTTGCTGGTGCGCTGAGGATCTGTCTGCCTTTTCATCCTTCTCTTCTGTTCTCCCTGATTCTTTAACTATGCATCTCTTCTGGGGATTCAGGCAGGGATATTTCAAAGGCTTTTGTAGACAATGTGGAATGGAATGGAAGGAAGTTCTGAAATTTCCTGGTATTGGACTTCAGCAGGAACTGGCTCTGTTCTTTGGGCAGGAAGAGTTCTGCCCATGAAGGAAGATAATCCTGCCCATGAGGTCAGCCCACAGAAGAGTGAGGGGTAGCCCATCATTTACCAATCTACGCTGGTGCAAAGTAGAGGGACTATCAGCGTGTCACCCAATTACAGTAATCAGCTGGGCAGAGTCAAAGCAACTGAGCAGTGATTAGGGCATTGTTTCGATTCAGGTCTCTCCAAGGTGCCCACGTGCCCAGGGGAATCGCCTGCAGCCAATACAGTTTCCTGCAGCCCATCTTCTCCTCAGGCTGGCCAGTCTCCCACTCGAGTAGTCTGGGCAGAGGACGATGGACCCCCTGCTCCTGCACACGCCCGTTAGGGAGGGGCTTTACTCTGAAATTAGGGAGGTGACCAGTCCGGGGCACATGTAGGTGAGTGGGTCATCCTTTGGTTAAATAGACTGACTCCAGTCAGCAAGATGCAAGCTGAACCCCATGGTAATGACTCTCAGGTGTACAGATCCTGTAGGTGTCCAGGCAGAGGTTGGATGGTAGCAGCCACAGGGCAAGTTTTCCCCTAATGAGATGGATTGGCACAGTGACTGCAGCGATGGCTCAGTCAAGTACAACAGAGAGTGAGGACGACACAGGATCAGACAGGGAATCATTCTGTTTTGTGTAGGATAGATGTGATTTGGAGCTGAGTCAATGATATCAAACAACAATAATAGTCACATGTTTTGTTTGGCCCAGATACTTTGGAAAGTGAGAAAATGTATGCTAAGAAGGAGATGAAAAATAAACAAATCTCATTTTTTAAAATGTCAGTAGATTCAACAACCCTGGACCCTCATCCCCATAATGCTTTCCTGGAGCAAAGTAGCACTTTAATAAGTGTGTCTCCCCCCTGTAGATTTCCACAATCCTTACCACTCCCTACTACTCACCCAGCCTGATACCCACATTTCTGTTGCCTGTTTACAGCTTTAGCCAGTGGAGCTTTGAAGGTCTCTTTTCTCCTTCACAAATTGTGATCCTTGATTCAGTTGAAGCTGCCAGTTTTGATGGCTACTTGAGAAGGAAGGAGCTGGCTAATAGCGATGGACTCTTTGAGGAAGAAGAGTCTGGACCGAGGT